ATTTTAGTGTCATCTGCAAAGGATGATACAAGCAATGATTTAAGTCTATATTTACATGGGAAAGAGAATTGTGGTGAGTACTGTGCCTTGGCAGCTTATGATTTAACTTTGTTCCCTATTAGTCTTCGTGTTCTGTATGTTAGATATATATAAATCCATCCAGGCATTTTTCCAGGTATTCCTTTTGTTAGCACTTTGAGCGCTGTTACACCACGAGCACATGCTGTAGGCTCATGCAAAGTCTGTATATAATACATTTACATTTTTTTTGTCTTCCGGTGCATGATAAACCATGTAGTAATGGTAAAGCAAATGCGAGAGGCAGGATCAACCTGCTTTAAACTCATGCTGCCAGGGGTTGTGCAGTGGTGAAGCCATGTCATTAGTAATCCTGCTACTTAATAACCTTTCAAAGAATTCGATCCTCAGCGAAGTCAGTGTTAGCGGTCTATAGTAAGTTGCGATGCTTTCTTCTAGCTTTGTGGAGTGGGGATTAACCCGTGGTTTATAATGACTGTTAGGGGCTACATCCGTGGTCTTTAATGACTTGTTGTTGGGCTACACCCACGGTTTTTAATGACTTGTTGTTGGGCTACACCCACGATTTTTAATGACTTGTTGTTGGGCTACACCCACGGTTTTTAATGACTTGTTGTTGGGCTACACCCACGATTTTTAATGACTTGTTGTTGGGCTACACCCACGGTTTTTAATGACTTGTTGTTGGGCTACACCCACGGTTTTTAATGACTTGTTGTTGGGCTACACCCACGATTTTTAATGACTTGTTGTTGGGCTACACCCAGGGTTTTTTTAATGACTTGTTGTTGGGCTACACCCACGGTTTTTAATGACTTGTTGTTGGGCTACACCCACGATTTTTAATGACTGGCGGATAACTCTGAAAATACTTCTCAGAAAACTACAACCAAACAGAGGAAATTGAGGACGACTACAATGCAACATACAATACCCACTACACTATAGAAGATAAAATCCACTACAATATAAAAAATAATGCTCGGTACAATATACAGTATTATACAATTCACACTACAATAATGCTGAAGTGCTTTCACTTGAATATAAATGAACTTGATTTATTCGACCTCCAACTTAAAGTTGAAGGGACATAACTCACTTATGTTCCCTGACCTACCTACTTCTTCACTACGTGAGTGTGGGTGAGTGTAAGGTGGACCTACCTATCATGGGCCAGTAGGCCTGCTGCAGCGCTTTCTTTCTTATATTATGTTCCCTGACCTACCTAACTCAATCTTGACCTACTTAACACTACCCTGACTTACCTTACTCATCCATGATTTACCTAACTCTTCCCTGACCTTGCCCACAGTGAACTGACCTTTCCCTCAATGACCTGACAATGTTCTCAGTAACCAACCCTCCCTCTCAGTAACCTGACCTGACCCTCAGTGACCTGGCCTAGCCCTCAGTGACCTGCCCTCCCTCTCAGTGACCTGACCTAGCACTCAAGCACTCACCTGCTTGGCTAGGGGTGATCCTGGGTGGATAGCGATGACCAGGAGAACGCCCAGCAGTGCGTTCAGAAGTGATGTGGCAAGAAAGTACAGGATGGTGCGTACCACGATGCGTCCGTTCATGCGTGCGTTCAAACTCGCTGAACCTGAAGGTGTTGGTGAACGTGAGAGTGTGAATTAGATAAAGGTGAGAGTGTAAATTTGAAAGTGGTGATGGTGAGAGTGAAGGGTGAAAGTGAGAGTGAGTATGTACGTCAAGGTGAAGGTGAAGTTGAAGAAAACATTCGATCTGCTGAACATGCTTTCGTCTGGGACAATGTTTCACTCTGTGTAGAGCTTTATCATGTCATGTTTCACTCTGTGTAGAGCTTCATCATGTCATGTTTCACTCTGTGTAGAGCTTTATCATGTCATGTTTCACTCTGTGTAGAGATTTATCATGTCATGTTTCACTCTGTGTAGAGCTTTATCATGTCATGTTTCACTGTGTAGAGCTTTATCATGTCATGTTTCACTCTGTGTAGAGCTTTATCAAGTCATGTTTCACTCTGTGTAGAGATTTATCATGTCATGTTTCACTCTGTGTAGAGCTTTATCATGTCATGTTTCACTCTGTGTAGAGCTTTATCATGTCATGTTTCACTCTGTGTAGAGCTTTATCATGTCATGTTTCACTCTGTGTAGAGCTTTATCATGTCATGTTTCACTCTGTGTAGAGCTTTATCATGTCATGTTTCACTCTGTGTAGAGATTTATCATGTCATGTTTCACTCTGTGTAGAGATTTATCACGTCATGTTTCACTCTGTGTAGAGCTTTATCATGTCATGTTTCACTCTGTGTAGAGATTTATCATGTCATGTTTCACTCTGTGTAGAGATTTATCATGTCATGTTTCACTCTGTGTAGAGCTTTATCACGTCATGTTTCACTCTGTGTAGAGATTTATCATGTCATGTTTCACTCTGTGTAGAGCTTTATCACGTCATGTTTCACTGTGTAGAGATTTATCATGTCATGTTTCACTCTGTGTAGAGCTTTATCATGTCATGTTTCACTCTATGTAGAGATTTATCATGTCATGTTTCACTCTGTGTAGAGCTTTATCATGTCAGGTTTCACTGTGTAGAGCTTTATCATGTCAGGTTTCACTGTGTAGAGCTTTATCATGTCAGGTTTCACTCTGTGTAGAGCTTTATCATGTCATGTTTCACTGTGTAGAGCTTTATCATGTCATGTTTTACTCTGTGTAGAGCTTTATCATGTCATGTTTCACTCTGTGTAGAGCTTTATCATGTCATGTTTTACTCTGTGTAGAGCTTTATCATGTCGTTTCACTGTGTAGAGCTTTATCATGTCAAGTTTCACTCTGTGTAGAGCTTTATCATGTCATGTTTTACTGTGTAGAGCTTTATCATGTCATGTTTTACTGTGTAGAGCTTTATCATGTCAAGTTTCACTCTGTGTAGAGCTTTATCAGGTCATGTTTTACTCTGTGTAGAGCTTTATCATGTCATGTTTCACTCTGTGTAGAGCTTTATCATGTCATGTTTCACTCTGTGTAGAGCTTTATCATGTCATGTTTTACTGTGTAGAGCTTTATCATGTCATGTTTTACTGTGTAGAGCTTTATCATGTCAAGTTTCACTCTGTGTAGAGCTTTATCATGTCATGTTTCACTCTGTGTAGAGCTTTATCATGTCATGTTTCACTCTGTGTAGAGCTTTATCATGTCATGTTTTACTCTGTGTAGAGCTTTATCATGTCATGTTTCACTCTGTGTAGAGCTTTATCATGTCATGTTTTACTCTGTGTAGAGCTTTATCATGTCATGCTTCACTCTGTGTAGAGCTTTATCATGTCATGTTTTACTCTGTGTAGAGATTTATCATGTCATGTTTCACTCTGTGTAGAGCTTTATCATGATATGTTTCAGTCGTTGTAGAGCTTTATCATGTCAAGTTTCACTCTGTGTAGAGCTTTATCATGTCATGTTTCACTCTGTGTAGAGCTTTATCATGTCATGTTTTACTCTGTGTAGAGCTTTATCATGTCATGCTTCACTCTGTGTAGAGCTTTATCATGTCATGCTTCACTCTGTGTAGAGCTTTATCGTGTCATGTTTTACTCTGTGTAGAGCTTTATCATGTCATGTTTCACTCTGTGTAGAGCTTTATCATGTCATGTTTTACTCTGTGTAGAGCTTTATCATGTCATGTTTCACTCTGTGTAGAGCTTTATCATGTCATGTTTCACTCTATGTAGAGCTTTATCATGTCATGTTTCACTCTGTGTAGAGCTTTATCATGTCATGTTTCACTCTATGTAGAGCTTTACCAAGCCATAACATTATAAAGCTCCACACAGGGCGAAACGTGTTCTCACGTGTTTTCGGCTTGTTCTCACATTACTCGTAATACATTCACAGTAGATAACCAGGTTTGATCCAGGGAAGGTGATGGGTAGCTCGAATTCCCTGGATCAAGAGCCCTTCGCCAGTGTGGAAAAGAAATTTTTGAGGAAGATCAAAGAAAAGATAAATTTTTTTAATACATTTCTGTTTAATAAATCTATAGTAAAATAATTTTATAATACAACTTAAGACAATATTAATAAGAAGCGTAATACAATACAGTACTGTAATAAAATACAATATTTAGTTATACAGCACTGTAGTAAAATATATAATACAATACTGTAATATAATGCAGTAGTGTAGTAATATAATACACTACTGTGGTAATATAACTACTGTAGTAATATAATACACTACTGTGGTAATATAACTACTGTAGTAATATAATACACTACTGTGGTAATATAACTACTGTAGTAATATAATACACTACTGTGGTAATATAACTACTGTAGTAATATAATACACTACTGTGGTAATATAACTACTGTAGTAATATAATACACTACTGTGGTAATATAATACACTACTGTGGTAATATAACTACTGTAGTAATATAATACACTACTGTGGTAATATAACTACTGTAGTAATATAATACACTACTGTGGTAATATAAACTACTGTATAATACTATATAAACACTACTGTGGTAATATAACTACTGTAGTAATATAATACACTACTGTGGTAATTAATAACTACTGTAAGTAATATAATAACACTACTGTGGTAATATAACTACTAGTAGTAATATAATACACTACTGTGGTAATATAATACACTACTGTAGTAAATATAACTACATATGTGGTAATATAATACACTACTGTGGAAATATAACTACTGTAGTAATATAATACACTACTGTGGTAATACAATACACTACTGTGGTAATATAATACACTACTGTAGTAATATAATACACTATTGTAGTATTATAATACACTACTGTAGTAATATAATACACTACTGTGGTAATATAATACACTACTGTAGTAATATAACTACTGTAGTAATATAATACACTACTGTGGTAATATAATACACTACTGTGGTATAATATAATAACTACTGTAGTAATATAATACACTACTGTAGTAATATAATAACTACTGTAGTAATATAATACACTACTGTAGTAATATAATACACTACTGTAGTAATATAATACACTACTGTAGTAATACAATACACTACTGTGGTAATATAATACACTACTGTAGTAATATAATACACTACTGTAGTAATATAATACTCCTACTGTAGTAATATAATAACTACTGTAGTAATATAATAACTACTGTAGTAATATAATACACTACTGTAGTATTATAATACACTACTGTAGTAATATAATACACTACTGTAGTAATATAATAACTACTGTAGTAATATAATAACTACTGTAGTAATATAATAACTACTGTAGTAATTAATAACTAACATTACTGTAGTAATATAATACACTACTGTAGTAATATAATACACTACTGTAGTAATATAATACACTACTGTAGTAATATAATACACTACTGTAGTAATATAATAACTACTGTAGTAATATAATAACTACTGTAGTAATATAATACACTACTGTAGTAATATAATACACTACTGTATAAATATAATACATACTACGTAGTAATATAATACACTACTGTAGTAATATAATAACCTACTTTAGTAATATAATACACTAATGTAGTAATATAATACACTACTGTAGTAATATAATACATTACTGTAGTAATATAATACACAACTGTAGTAATATAATACACTACTGTAGTAATATAATAACTACTGTAGTAATATAATAACCTATTTTAGTAATATAATACACTACTGTAGTAATATAATACACTACTGTAGTAATATAATACACTACTGTAGTAATATAATAACTACTGTAGTAATATAATACATTACTGTAGTAATATAGTACACTACTGTAGTAATATATTACACTACTGTAGTAATATAATAACCTACTTTAGTAATATAATACACTACTGTAGTAATATAATACACTACTGTAGTAATATAATACACCAATGTAGTAATGCAATACACTACTGTAGTAATATAATACACTATTGTAGTAATACACTGCTGTAGTAATATAATACACTACTTTAGTAATATAATACACTACTGTAGTAATAAAATACACTACTGTAGTACGAGGTTGCGAGTCAGGTGAGAACATGAGACCTGGTCGCTGAGTTGCCACAAGAAAAGATCAATAAAGTGAAGGTAATAAAGAGAATAGTGACAACAGTAATAAGAAATCTGTCCTAAGAGAGGCTAGAAGAGTAGTGTTTGCGTCAGAACGTTGGTAACAAGACGGAAGTAGAATTAGTGAGGCGTTATCAGGATGTATGGTGACGTCAACGTCTGAACTTTTCCGAGAAACGTTTTTAAATAGTATTAATGATTTTCAGTTTTAAAAAGAAATTGAGAAAAACTTATTTCATTCTTAGACTTTTTTTACATAAGCAGTGTTTTAGTGTTCCCACGTGATTAAGATGTTGAGAGCCGCTGCTACCTGCTGTGTAGGATATGCAAACACTGAGAGTTGTATGTCTAGTGTATATACATAGAGTTTACTTTCAATCTTTCTTTTAAGGACTAGTGTATTCTTGATTGGTGGGAGGTGACATGCAGCCTTAAAAACTCTAAGCTCTATTAACCAACTCGTGACGCCTCAAACTGAGAAACAGCTGGTAGAGACAGAGGTAAATATGCTGTGATGTGGTCACGTCAAGACCGGTCTCACCTGGTATAAGAGAGAAGGTAATGATCGTGTAGTCTCACCTGCTATGAGAGAAGCTATGATGAGGGGCAGGATCATGAGTTTGAGCATCCTGATGAACAGTTCACCAGGGTATGAGATGAGCAGGATGGTGGTAGAGTCAGGTCCCGCCGCACGCAGTGACAGACCTAGAGTGGGAGAGACACATACAGTTGAAGAGCAGCTTCTTGTCGCCCCTGCTGGAGTTAGAAGAACTTTCTTCGCCAGGGAAGATGTCTTACCGCGAGATGGCTAATCAGTCGCTGGCATATCGGTAATATTAATTCACCTTAAGGAAAGAATACCGTTGTCTTACACAGACTTAACTACTACAGCAGCTAAGGTCATCAACTGGTAAAAAAAAACATATTTCTCTTTGAAGGGAAAGCTTTAGATGGTTGGACTTGCCTTTACTGTCAAGAAACTACAGATTAGCGGAGAAGACTTTCCGACGTAAGGCAAATCATCCTATGAGACGGGACTGCTGGAAATAGTGGAAAAAATGGGAAGGTAGTTTTGAGATGGTCATTCCTATCAAGGCTGAGTGACAGAACACAAGAAAATTACCCTTTCAAACTTGTATACAGAAGGAGCTAGCCGTGCAATGCCTGTGTAGCTTAATTAAAAAAAAAGTTTATTTTAATCAAGGACTCAATGGTATCCAAGCCAATTCATTATTTAATGGCTCATTTGTGGGTTCAGACTTTGTGTCAGGGGGTCGCACCGCGGGCATGAGCACCCGGCAGCATCTTTCATTTGTGTTATTTATCAAATTAGACATGCCACATTGTGTAGCTACACTAATCTGTATGACGATCACACAGGATGGTTATGCTGTCATACTCCATCATACTGGATGGTTATCCTATCATACTCCATCACAGTGGATGCTTATCCTGTCGTACGCCATCACACAGGATGGTTATCTTGTCGTACTCCATCTCACAAAATGGTTATCCTGTCGTACTCCATCACACAGGATGGTTATCCTGTCGTACTCCATCACACAGGATGGTTATCCTGTCGTACTCCATCACACAGGATGGTTATCCTGTCGTACTCCATCACACAGGATGGCTATCCTGTCATACCTCCATCACTAATGATGGGTTTACAACGAGGTCAGAAGTCCTGTCAGTCTAACCTGGAAGCTTGCCTTAAGGAAAGGCATTTGGGAAATAATGGTTTTGTAAGTCTCGAGTTATCTTTCAGATGCTATCTTTATTCTCCCGGATGGTCATCCTTTAAGTTATCCTTCGAATGTCAGCTTCCAAAATACCCACTAGGTTATTTTTCAGGTTCCAGACCACTAGCCACCCACCTTATCTAGGCTATCAAACCAATCCGACCACCCTTTTCATTTGCATACCCCTCCTTATCTAAGTTGTAGACCAAATTTTCCTGTCTCAGGAAAGGCCAATTATTCCCCGTTACCTACCACCATCCACCTCCAGTTCTAATGTCAACCCCACCATCCCACAAACACCTACTCAGCCCTACTCTCCAGCTCACAGGCCATATTTATGTTCTGCTATGAAAGTGGTGGAGACACTTACCGAGGGCGACGCCGAAGAGGACGCCGGAGAAGGTGATGATGAGAAGAAGGTTCTTACGCACCCAGCTCCAGCGCATGTCTGTAACTCGCACTGGTGACATCTTGACACCTGAAGGTGAGAGAGAGAGAGTGCCACCGTGAGTGATGCTGGATGTCCTGGTCCCCTTGGGTAGCTGGGTATACACGTATATATATACTTATGCAATAAGATCACAGTAAACAGGTGATTTCAGAATATGCAAAACAACCACTCTGAAAGAATAGAGAAATTCCAAGCGCTTTCGTGACTACTCACATTATCAAGGAACTATGAAAGTAAAGCATCCAAGGAAGCTATATAAGGGGTCTGGCCAGCACCTCACTATCAGATCCCACAACGGTTAAACACCTGACGCGCGCCGACCCAACTTGGTTGGGTTGTTAAGCAACAAGGTTGCTTAACACAATCCTCCCTAATAGAGCTAAATGGTTGAGATATGTTGATGATATTTTGTGTCTTATGTCCAAAAATGTAGATATACACCATTTCCTTGGAAAATTAAATAGCTTAGCCCATTCTATAAACTTTACTGTTGAGTTTGAAGAAAATAACTCATTGCCTTTTCTAGATGTTTTAATTATTAAGGGTAATAATGAATTCAAATTTAAAATTTACAGAAAACCTACAAATAACTGTTCCTATGTCCACTATTATTCCTCGCATCAAGATAGAGTCAAAATGTCTGTTTTCTCATCAATGTTTTTGAGAGCTTTACGAATTTGTAGTCCTGAGTTCATAGATGAGGAAATATCCAAAATTTATGAAATAGGTAATGATTTAAAATACCCAAGAAATGTAATTGATAAATCTTTTAAAGTTGCTAGAAATACTTTTTACAATCCAAAAAGGGACAACCAGCCTTATTCAACTAAAAATATGTTGGTTCTCCCTTACCATGAAAACTTGGTTGATATGCCTTCTCTTCTTAAGACTTTAAATATTAAAGTTGTATTCAAAAATCTTGATACAGTAAAAAAAAACTTTTGATAAAGAATTCCCCCCAAAATGCTGATGGATTTGTCTATAAGATTCCTTGTAAAATTTGCGATAAACTTTATTACGGTCAAACTGGTAAAAATCTCGAGCTAAGATTAAAACAACATAAATATAGCATTAGAACTGGACAAGATTCCAATGCTCTATTTATTCATGTAAGAGATTTTAACCATCCAATTGATTTTCAAAAAGTTGAGAAAGTAGTATCAAGCAAGTCCATGGTCGACAGGAATATAATTGAATCTTGTTTCATAAAAAGCAGTTTTGACAATAATATGAATATTTCCTTTGGTTTATATAAATTAGATCCATTTATAATTAATAGAATTTGGGAAGAATTTAATAATACACTGGACAAATAATAATGTTTAAATTTTCCTGGGTAGAATAGTTTGTGGGTGAGTTGTGCAAAGGACCTATCCAAGTTGGGTCGGCGCGCGTCAGGTGTTTAACCGTTGTGGGATCTGATAGTGAGGTGCTGGCCAGACCCCTTATATAGCTTCCTTGGATGCTTTACTTTCATAGTTCCTTGATAATGTGAGTAGTCACGAAAGCGCTTGGAATTTCTCTATTCTTTCAGAGTGGTTGTTTTGCATATATACTTATATACAGAGTGGCGGTATATTCGAATTGGTTACTGGGTTGATTGTGATCAAACACATTGTGTGTGTGTGTGTGTGTGTGTGTGTGTGTGTGTGTGTGTGTGTGTGTGTGTGTGTGTGTGTGTGTGTGTGCGCGCGCGCGCATGCGTGTGTACAGTGCTCGTCACGGCATTATGCCGGGTGACGCCCCTGCATAATGCCGTGACGAAAATCAAAGGCCTACCATACAGGGAGGTCTTTTCTCGTCAGTGCATTACGCCGTGTAGCAGCTGTTAGAATGATGTCATGGCCTTCCACCACATTCCACAGTCACTCCTCAGTGCTCACATGGCTGCCATGGTGAGAGGAAGTGTTGCACTTTTGTATTTCATCCACCCCATCTTCTGTCGCTTGTTTCTTTTGGTTTTGATGCTATACATGTTTGATTATGGGTAAAAGAAAGTCTTTAACACCTGAAACTATAGCTCAAATCATAGGGCTTCACAAAGCTGGGCACCAGACGAAAGAAACAGTGAAGAATGTTGGTGTGTGTGAGCGCTCAGTGAGGAACTGGGTGCAGCGTTTCAAGGCAGCGTTTGACACATGTGAGGCTACGGTTTTTATGCAAGACGGTGCACCTTGTCATACCTCCAAATCTGTAGTTCAGAGGCTTAATTAAGGACTGTGAAGTGAGGTTCTTTAATGACTGGCCAGGCAATTCCCCAGACCTAAACTCTATTGAGAACCTCTGGTCAATAGTGAAACGAAGTTTACTGGGCAAGGATATCAGTTCCATCCTGCTGCTGGAGGCTGCTGTGCATGAGGCCTCAAACAACATACCTCCCCAAACCATCAAGAATTTGTGTGAGTCTTCTTACACGGCTGAGGGATGTGATTAAGCATAAATGAAAGTGTGCAAATATATATATTATAATATTTCATGGTATGCGTTTGTGTTTTGGTACGTGTGGGGGAGGGGTAGCACAATGCCGTGACAAGCATGTATATATATATTATATATAATATACATATATATATATATAATATAATATATATATATATATATATATATATATATATATATATATATATATATATATATATATATGTCTTGCCGAATAAGTAAAGCTTGCAATTTTGGCTTAAATAGCAAAGCACTTCTTGCCAAATAGGGCAAGCGATAATTTGTGTATGCAATAATTTCGCAAAAATCATTCTGATCCTAACGGAAAAAATGTATTTCAAAGTGTTTGTTTATTATTAAATTACTGTAATCTTATATGAAATATATTTAGCTGGATTAGGATAAATTAAATCGCACTTGTTATAATAAGGTCAGGTCTTTTGGTACAAAATCAATTTTTATATTAACATAAATGAAAAAATATATCTTTAAATGTATAAGGGAAAATTTTAGAAAGGACTTAATTTTAAATGAGTTCTTGCTAATTGACCAGATTTACCTATTCGGCACCACACACGCATATAATATATATATATATATTAATATATATATATATATATATATATATATATATATAATATATATATATATATATGTGTGTGTGTGTGTACTCACCTATTTGTACTCACCTATTTGTGGTTGCAGGGGTCGAGTCCTAGCTCCTGGCCCCGCCTCTTCACCGGTTGCTACTAGACCCCTCTCTCTCCCCGCTCCATGAGCTTTATCAAACCTCGTCTTAAAACTGTGTATGGTTCCTGCCTCCACTACGTCATTTTCTAGGCTATTCCACTGCCTTACAACTCTATGACTGAAGAAATACTTCCTACATCTCTCTGACTCATTTGTGTCTTCAACTTCCAATTGTGGCCTCTTGTTTCTGTGTCCCCTCCCTGAACATCCTGTCCTTGTCCACCTTGTCTATTCCACGCAGTATTTTATATGTCGTTATCATGTCTCCCCTGACCCTCCTGTCCTCCAGTGTCGTCAGGCCGATTTCCCTTAATCTTTCTTCATAGGACATTCCCCTTAGCTCTGGAACTAACCTTGTTGCAAACCTTTGTACTTTCTCTAGTTTCTTGACGTGCTTTATCAAGTGCGGGTTCCAAACAGGTGCTGCATACCCCCAGTATGGGCCTGACATACACGGTGAAACATGTCTTGAATGATTCCTTACTAAGGTGTCGGAATGCTGTTCTCAGGTTTGCCAGGCGCCCATATGCTGCAGCAGTTATCTGATTGATGTGTGCTTCCGGAGACATGCCCGGTGTTATACTCACACCCAAGCTTTCTCCTTGAGTGAGGTTTGCCAGTCTTTGGCCACCTAGCCTATACTCTGTCTGTGGTCTTCTGTGCCCTTCCCCTATCTTCATGACTTTGCATTTGGCAGGATTAAATTCGAGAAGCCATTTGCTGGACCAGGTGTCCAGTCTGTCCAGGTCTCTTTGAAGTCCTGCCTGGTCCACATCAGATTTAATTCTCCTCATTAACTTCACATCATCTGAAAACAGGGACACTTCTGATCTAACCCTTCCGTCATGTCGTTCACATATACCAAAAATAGCACTGTCCTAGACCGACCCCTGTGGGACCCCCGCTCGTCACAGTGCCCACTGTGATACATCATTACGTACCATGACTCGTTGTTGCCTCCCTGTCAGGTATTCTCTGATCCATTGCAGTGCCCTTCCTGTTATATGCGCCTGATGCTCTAGCTTCTGCACTAATCTCTTGTGAGGAACTGTGTCAAAGGCCTTCTTGCAGTCCAAGAAGATGCAATCAACCACCCCTCTCTCTCTTGTCTTACTTCTGTTATTTATCATAAAAACTCCAGAAGGTTTGTGACACAGGATTTTGCCTTCCGTGAACCGTGCTGGTTGCATTTATACTCCTGTTCCGTTCCAGGTGCTCCACCACTCTCCTCCTGATAATCTTCTCCATAATTTTGCATACTATACACGTCAATGACACAGGTCTATAGTTTAGTGCCTCTTTTCTGTCTCCTTTTTTGAAAATGGGAACTACATTTGCTGTCTTCCATACCTCAGGTAGTTCCCCCAGTTTCCAGGGATGTGTTGAAGATTGTGGTAAGTGTACGCACAACATATCTGCTCCCTCTCTAAGGACCCATGGAGAGATGTTGTCCGGTCCCATTGCCTTTGAGGTATCGATGTCCCTTAGCATTTTTCTTAAACCTCCTCCTCATCTGTATGTATGTCGTCCAACACTTGTTGGTGTATTCCTTGTTGGTGTCCCCATCTGGTCTGTCCCCCCAGAGTCCTTCCTGTCTCTACTTAAATACTTCCTTAAATCTCGTGTTGAGCTCCTCACATACCTCTTGATCGTTTCTTGTGAGTTTCCCCACCTTCTTTCCTCAGCCTTATCACCTGGTCCTTGACTGTTGTCTTCTTCCTAATGTGGCTATACAGCAGTTTCGGGTCAGATTTGACTTTCGATGCTATGTCGTTTTCATACTGTCTCTGGCCTCCCTCCTTATCTGCGCATACTCGTTTCTGGCTCTTCTACTAATC